ATATCATTGGGTAGTTAAAATTAGGGCCGTCCCCGCCAAATTGGCACATGTCACATGTGCCTGTCATGGCCCCCGTTTGAATAGAAATATTTTTAAAATTATGTCATTGTTTGATTCTCATTATTTTTTAAAAAAAAATTTAAACCACACATTTTTTAATAAAATAATATTAAACAAAAATGTAAAATTTGTCTTTATTTTTTAATCATATATTTTCAAGTAATATACTATTTCAAAATGCATTCTTATAATAAAATGGGGCTCAAACAGGCCCCATAAGTTAGTGCACAAATCTCGAAACATTTTGTCTTGACGTCTGTTTGAGACCCACTATTTAAATATTCATTTTTCTCCAAATTTATTTTCAATCATATTCTTCCATTAAATAATTTCACATATAAATCTAATTTTTTGCTACTTTTTAATTACACACCCTCCAAAAAATCACTATTACAAAATTCATTTTCCTCTAAAATGGGGCTCAAAGACTCAAACAGACCGTAAATACACAAGAAATATAATAGTAGGTATTTAGTATATGTTAATTCTCCATATCTATAGGTTTTTCTAAAGAAAACACTGAAGAAAAAAAAAAGGCTAAATAAAGAATTGATTTAAATCTTGATGCCTACATCTATAATCTAAAAGTAACAGTATCTAATTTCAAAATGGTACCATAAGGAATGTAGTGCTTTGGATAATTATCGATTAGTTACTTGTTAATATTTATACAAACAGAGATACTAACGTTACGTAAGAAGTTGAGTTTTAAGAAAATTTTGAATACAATTTTGTGGAATATTCTTGTTGGATGGAATGCATTGAATTATAGCATCTTTCGACCAAATTTTTTCTGGAAAATTCATTGAATGTGCAATAAAAATTTAGATGTTTTTTTTTAAAAAAAAATTATCGTTAATGACAATTAACCGTTGTTAACGAACAGAATCTGTTGTTAATGGATAGTTAACTAACAATTAATTATATTCATAACAATCATTACTGCACGTTTTACATTTTCCATTACTATTTTTACATTACTATTTTTCCTAAAAAAATAAATAATAATAATAATAAATAAATAAATAAATTTAACGATCATACATGAATTTTGTGTGATGAAATAATTGACATTATGTACCTTAAGTGGTTTTATTATAGTAAACAACTTGAAACAATTACCTACCAATGAATGAATATCATCATTGTTCTAGGATTGTGAACTCTCTTTTTCGAACGTATCGGGTCTCTTTACAATATTCTATGTATGTACATTGGTTAAGTAAGCCTGTGCGAGCTATTTGAGCCATAATGAGTCGTTATCATAATTAAGTAGTCTAAAATAGATATTGATTCGATGTGGTTATCAAAATTGTTTTATCATATATCAATTGTGTATTAATCCACAAGTAAATTATGACATTTATTTATTATTATTATTATTATTTTACAATTTTCACTAAAATTGTCTCAATATTTGGTTTAGAGAAATCAATTTACCATACACTAGTAGAATAACAAATAGTAATTCGATGCTTTTACCA